TTCCTGTGGACATGCTGAGGAATGTCCGGCACATCTGAAGAAGGTGATCTCCACGGCATAGCGAGCAGCGTTCATCGTCCATTTCTCTGGTTGTCTTTATTCCTGATGTCACCAGACCCACAAGTTTCTTCCTCGACGAGGATTGACGTGAGTCTGCATAAATTCTGCTTGGTTCTTCCTGTCCTCGTCCCTTTGTGACCTCCTCCGCCTTTTCGACCATATCCATTGTGAATTCCAACATCCACTCGATCCCAGGAAGCTTTCCCCACTTCCTTTTGTATTTATGCGCCTTATCCACGTAGTCGTCCCTCATCTTTCCCTTGAACCTCTCAGCTAACGTGCTTATTGATTCATACGTGTCAATCTGACGTAGTTCTCCCAAGACCTTCAAGTTCCTCACGCAATTCCCCAGTTCGTCTGAGAACTGTTGGAGGCCCTTTGCGTCACTTAGTCTCACAGTTGGACCTCGTAGGGCCTTCTTTATTAGCTGGCAAACGTAAGTGTGCTTATTGCCGTGACGTTTCTCTAATATGTCCAAAGCTTCCTTGTACCCGGCTTTGGGATCTTGAATTTGCAAACATCCCCGCAAAGCGTCCTTAGCGGGCCCAGCGTAGGCAGCGAGAAGTGTCTCTAATTTCAAGGTATCAGGTATCTGCGCCACCCCAACGTGTCGCTGAAAGACTCGCTTGAACTCCCAGTATTCACTACAAGTTCCTCCACTGAACTTCGGCGTTGGCCTTTGGGAGAACCTCATATTCTCTAGCAGTTCTCTCACCCAAACCTCGGACCTCGGTGGGTCGTCCCTTTTGTCTTTCATCAAAGGTAGTGGTTTCGGCGAACTAGCTTGATGTTCGGAAGTACTTCCGCGCTCCCCCTGGTGAGATGTTCCCGGCTCTGCGGTTAAGGTGAGCGCCGGGAGTCCTCTTGGAGTATATAACGTTTCTTCGTTAGTTTCAATTACAGAGGAAAGTTTAGTCTCTGGTGGTGATAAACACCTTTCCGCGATCTTCTGTGCTGCCCTTGCCTTGTAGTTGATTCATACCTTCGGTGACGTTTTGCATCATCGCTGTCATGTGAGCGAACATTTGCTGCATTTGTTGGTATTGCTCACATAATTGTCCTTCGATTCCTTTGACAGGTGGTTCCTTTCTCTTCTCGGGAGACAGGTTTACGGTAGACGGGTTTATCTCACGCTGCCTTGGCGAGGTGGGTGAGACATCGGTCTCTATGTCCACAGTGTCTCCTTGTTCTACGCCGGACACGCTCCCCACTTCTGACTTATTCTCTTTCCCGTCCATGACTGCCCGAACAGCAAGCGTAATCTGTCTTGCTTGATAAGTGTATGCAGTAACGCTTAGTATCAGGTGCCCACGATCGCAGATATCACACAATTGGAGTTGATGTCACACAGACGCGTGCCATGCGCACGAGTGATGTCACACACGAGCGAAGTCCCTCTAAACACGTGACGAGCAATACCCACGAGTGATGTCACACAAACACGACCACAGTGATGTCACGCACGAGCGACGATGTCACACTAACATGGCCACAGTGATGTCACACACGAGCGATGTCCCTCAAACACGTGATGTGCAATACGCACGAGTGATGTCACACAAACACGACTACAGCGATGTCACACACCAGCTACGATGTCACACTAACACAACCACAGAGATCCACAATCAATGTAGGGACTCGTTACACAACTGATGTCACAAACACTACTGCGGCGCCCTTACTTGTACAACGTTACGGCTTGTCACAACCTTCGTTGTTATTTCTTAATTACACACACACATACTTATATATACATATATACATACATATACATATAACCTGAATGTTGTACACACTTCATCCACAAATCCCTTTCATTTATGTATTTCTTCATGGTTCCTTATCATCGTTGTTTGATATACTATGGTGTCACTGGTATAGGAAGATCAGCTGTTAGTTATAATCACTTGCGTGCGTGTCCGAGCGAACGCTAACTACCAGTCCGCCCAGACCAAACATTACGACACAGTCCAGGTATTTAAGACACTTCACTCAAACACAGAACACTCGCTATCCCTGCCTCGCTGCTGACGACGCAAGTGATCCACCCACTGTGGGTGGGTGGGTGATCCACCCACTATGGGTGGGTGGGCGATCGACGAGCCTATGCTCTCCCACGCTGAACTCCGGCGTTGGTCCTTCGACAGTCCTCCCGTATACGTTTTGACTGTTAACGCTCATAGGAGCGTTATTGGTTTGTTGCTGGAGAAATAAACCCTCAACGTTGACGCGTACCATATAATTCGGTCAAAACCTGTTAAAGAACATTTCTCATATAACAAATGCTGTTATCTCAGGACACATATTATGAAATACAATCAATATACAGTACATAGCCTGTTAACATCTTAAATATAACTCGCATGTTATAACTATTGATACAGGAGACAATTGGTATAATATGATCAAATTGCAGTACACAAATATACTTATTAAAGTTATTTAGAGTTTCTTAGCAGATTCTAAAACTTCACGATCACTCACGTTTTAGGGTCTAGTGGTCTGAACCAACGTGTTGTCTGTCCTGTAGAAATCAGTAGACTATCCTCGAGGGCAATCTCAGCCCGGAGGCGAGGGCCATATGTTTTCGTATTGAAACACCTCAGCAGATTGGTCAGCAAATTCGTTGTCAACACTATATCTCTTATCTCATCTCATCCCCTCTCTCTCTCTCTCTCGCCTAGTTTATCTTATTATGGTTATCCCTCTCTTTCTCTCTCTTCTAGCTTATCTTACTGTGGCGGTAACAATATATATATATATATATATATATATATATATATATATATATATATATATATATATATATATATATATATAAATATATATATATATATATATTATGAAAGCTGTTACTACGTGTGTTAAATATCAGTTTATTAGAGAAACCAACATTCATGACTAAGCATACTATATTAGAATGAGTTGGTAAAGGTCAGTGCAATGCATTACTGCACCACCCCCCCTCGACTGGACACACTCACACTGACTCACCACCACCACGTCACCTAAATATTTCTGTAGCAGTGGAGACTTACACAGTCTATGAGTGTTGTTTTAATGTTAGAGCACAAACATGCATAGTGTATCGATGTCAACATAAACGGGGATAGTGCTAGACATTTCTTATGAACTGTAGCGTCTGTCGCGTCCTGTGGCGGTGGCAGTGGCTCTCGCTCACTGGACGTAACTGAAGCACTTGTTCAAAGTATCGAATCATACCTGAGACGAATCTCCCTATTTCTATCTCTATTTTCTCTCGGCTACAGAACATACATTATAATTGAGGCAATATGCCCCAGGATTCATCATCAAGGCTTAAAGTGTCCCCTAATGCCTCAATAAATATTAGATTCACAAATTGTGGATATCCTACCAAACGTGAGTGTCGGTGCACTTGTAGTGGCTCCTCTCCCTTACAACTCCCAACTGAGCTCCGGCCGAGCGCCTACCAGCCAATCAGCGTACAGCCGAATCGAATCGAAAAATGCTAGTGACAGGGGGGAAGGAGGTTCAGGGGAAGAATAAAGAGAGGATTGAAGTGAATTTTAGGAGGAGAGAATAGGTGCAGTGACTAAACACCGCTTACGTGAGGGAGTATAAGTTGGAGGCAGCAGCAACTCGCCCGGACGCGGCCGGGAGGCGACAGGACAGAGTCAGGCTAGCGTCAGGTGCGTGTTGGGTTGGGCCATGGATTCTCAGTGCTTGGTCGGCTAAATTGTGTGTGTTGTTTTCTTGTGTGGAGGAAATGTCTTGGTCTTCTTCTTAGCTTGAAGTTGATTTTCTTCTAACTCTCCTCCTCTTCTTGCTCTCTTGAAGTGTCCATTCGTTCGTGTTTGGGTCTTGTTGTTCGTCTTCCTCGTGTCTTAAGTCCTCATAGGTGTGGAAGTCGGAGACGGTGAGGTTGACCACGTGGGCTTCAGCTCCACGGGCCTCGTGGTGTTCTTGATTCTGTGTGGCGGGTGTCTTTTCTTGAGTTTTCTTTTCTTGGTTTTTCTTTTCTGCTGGTTTTTTCTTGTCTTGGGAGCGTACAGCAAGGAGGGCCTCTTTGTAGCTCAGTTTCTTGTCGAGTCGAGCCTTGGCTATCCTACATTCCTCCTTCCATTTCGGGCAGGTCCGATCGGCGGAGGAATGTGGGCCGCCACAGGCAGCGCATTTTTTTACTGTGTTGGGGCAGACCGTGTAGCGGTGTCCGGGGCTGCCGCACAGGGAGCAGGTGTCCTCCTGCGCCTCACACTTGTTGACAGTGTGTCCGTAGTGCTGGCATTTGTAACAGCGTTTCGGTCTGCAGTAGGGCTTGACTGGCACAGTTACCCACGCCAGTTGAGCCTCCTTGGGTAAGGTTGTATGGTGTCCGATGAGGGCAGTGGTGTCGGACAGCTTCTTCACAACTTGGAGTTGCCCCTTGAGGAGCTCACTCAGCTCTGCTTGGTCCACGTGGGCAATTTCGGCGTGGGAGATTACTCCCAGCTTCAGGTTGTCCCACTTGTAGGCAATCATTTTAAATGGAATGCCGTTGATGTCTGGGATCTCCGCGAGCTGTACGGGCATGCCCTTCTCGGCGAAGGTGATCTTGATGTCACCATGGAGCTTCAGTCGCTCCACCTTGGTGACCCCCATGATCCCATTAGTTTCAAAGAACTTCTTGAGAATTAGGAGGTTTAATTTCTTGGGGCAGGTCGGCGTATCCGGACGTATCCGCGCCACGTTATCAAACTCGTAACCGTTCATGGTGAGAGAGGGTTAGAGAGTGCGTACAGCATGACATGAAATGCTAGTGACAGTATGAGGGCTTGAGCTATCACCATTTTATAAGGGCCTGTGTGTCAGTAACAATTCCTTTTACTCTCATACTTATTACCATTGGTAGTGTGACGAGAGGAGGCTCGTGGGTAGATGTAATGATAGTACCAAGTAATAGGGAAGAAATAACGGTAAATACTGTAGGTAAATAATAGACACAATTTACAAATACAAAATTTATTTAAACATTAATATGAAATTAGGAGAAAGAATTTATATGTACCAACAGACGAAATCTAGTACTAGGCCCTCAGGCTCAACATACTCACACCATTACTGGGTGGACATACTCAATAACACTCACAACCCTACTGGGTGGACATACTCAATAACACTCACAACCCTACTGGGTGGACATACTCAATAACACATAACTCTTATAGTCACTTAGCACCATAAAGACCAGGGCAACTGCCACTACAACACTCAGTCGTCAGGAGTGATACTCAAGCAACAGCCATGGGGTCCAGCCACCATGGAGTACTTTCCGACGAACTCTGAAGATCCCAGTGGATTAACTCCACCACACAAATAGCCCTACTGAGTTAGACACTCATCCACTAATGATGGGGGCTGGTAGTGGTGTGTGACTTGGTGATCCGGGGTCACCTCGCAGGCCGAGCGTTAGGGCCAGACGAGCCAGCTATGGGGGCCATAGGTAGTCTGAAGTGTCTGACATTCGCCAGCCAGCCTTCGCCGTGAACGGACCTCTCTCCAGAACCTTCACTGCTAAAGCCTGCCAGCCTGTCTTTCAACCGTTGACGACCTGAACGAAATCGACCACCTCACCACCATCACTACACACAACCGGTAAGCTCGTTGCAGACAACGCCCTTTCTGTGCCTCCCTACTGATCAGGGGTGACTCCTGATCAGAGGCGGCCCTGATCGGGTGATCTGTAACGGCTTTCTGTAGCGGATTTGGGCCGCGATCCCATTGGTGTCACTTGCA